TAGTTCCATATTGTACGGAATACTTGAGGAATACTATGAAACTGAAGATACTTCTAGTTCTCACCATACAGAGTAGAAAACTATACAATTCAGAGATTTTGATAGACCAGTTAGAAAGATCTTGCCTAACTAATTCAACACATCGAAACCAAGAGTAAGAGCTATTAAGAAAATGCAAAAGTGATCCAAAAGGGTAAGCTCAACTTAATCACTAATTAGAAGAAAGCTAAATATTTTTCAGAATAATGCGAAGTTGTCTAGCACTAAACATAGTAAAAATTGCAATATCTGGAATCCAATAAAAATGATTAAAAGCATGCAAAAAAGCAGGGAAATGCGACAGCAAAAAGAAAACATATACTGATTAAAATTGGTGCAGGAATGATGGTTGATAGAATTAGCTGACAGTAGTATTTACAAAGGTATTTCTATTCCATATGTTTAATAAGGTAAAGGAAAAAATAAGCATGTAGGAGAAGCACATGCATAAAGGATATTTAAATACATATATTATAATTTTTACATGTATTGCATGATACATATTTCGAGGTACCTTAACAAAACTTTTACAGAAGAAACTACAATTTTCAAGATGGAAAAATACTGTGGATGCATTGCATTTGAAGATGAAGCTAAACATCATTTACTCAGAAAGACAAAAAAGAAAGGAATGGAAAAAATGAACAGAGCACCAGTGAACTGTGTTACACATCTCTGGAGACTATTGTAGTAAAACTTTTATTTCCTGAAGGAAAAGCAGATGAGACAAACATATTAAAGAGATAGTTACTAAAAGTTTACAAACGTTCTGAATTTATAGATTTAAGAATCACAATAAACTTTAAACAAAACAGAACAAAGCCAACATCCTAATAAAATGTTTTAAATCAACAGCAAGACTAATAGTAACCAAAAACAGCAGATATCTCAGAAAGAGAGAAAACAGACATGATCTCAAATTCTGAGAAAATCTAAAGCAGGAAGAAAATAAGAGGAAACAAAGAAAACTTGAAACAATCAGAAAATAAACACAAGATGTTATTTAAACAAAACAGTAAGGATAATCATATTAACTGGTAAAGGTCTAAATATTTCCATTAAAAGTTCATTCAGTAGAATTTAAAGCAGGACAAGATATTAGGCCTCCTATGCAAATCACGTTTTTACATTCATATAAATATCAGACTCTTGTTTAACACACCAAAATCTGTATTACGAAGAAATTTGTATCATGAAAATGTGCACAATAGAAAAATATGTCTCAAATGAATAACCCGAGCTTTTCAATCAAGAAAACAAAACAAAGTGTAAAATAAATTCAATGTAAGCAAATAAATAATATTACAAATAGTAAAACCTAATGACATAGAAAAAATTCAAAATCAGTGAAAGCAAGTTATTTCGAGAAAATAGATAACTTAGAAAAATACATTAGTCTCAATGATCAGGAAAAATGTAAATAAAATTGTGACCCAGAAATAAGGAATTAAAGTTCAATCTGTTTTAAAAAGTTGATAAATCGAGTTCCAGCAAAATTGAAATCTATGACTTGTTGAAAATCATTTTAAGGGAACAGAGAGTCAATGGCTAGGGAAAATATGTATAAACACATATCTGCTAAAGGACTATATCTCTTATACATACATAAATTCAGTGAGGATGAAATAGCTCAGATATAGATCCTCCTATTTTAGGCCTCCAACTATTGCTGGGATGACAAGCAGGTGTTAGGACATCCAACTTTTCTTGAAAGATTAGCACCCAGTACAACCATAGTTTATTATGTTTTTCTTTTTTTTTTCTTTTTTCTTCCTTTCTTTCTTCCTTCCCTCCCCCCTTCCTTCCTTCATTCTTTCCTTCCTTCCTCCCTTATTTCCTTCTTTCCTTCCTTCCTTTGTCCTTTCCTTCCTCTTTGGGTAGTACTGTGGTCTGAACTCAGGGTCTCACTCTTTCTAGGTAGGCACTGTACATGTGAGCCACACCCCCAGCCCGTTTTTGGTTTAGTTTTTTTATAGATAATGTCTCTGTCTCACTCTTCTTGGCCAGGTTCAGCCTTGGATTGTGAATCTCCCTTCTAAGCTTCACCAGAGGTATGAGCCACCACACCCCTTTATTTGTTGAGATGGAGTATTGATAATTTTTATTTCAAATTTTATTTTAATTAGAACATAATTATTGTAAAGGGGATACATTATGACCTTTACTAAAGTTTTTACAATGTATCTTAGTTAAATTCACCCCCTCATTCATTCTCCTTTATTCACTTTCCCCGCTTCTTACAATAGTTTCAGCAGGTCTCATTTTCCCATTTCATATATGAGTACATAGTATTTCCACAACATTCAGACTCCTATGCCCTTTCCCTGTGTCTCAGCCCTCATACCAGTCCCCAGACAAGACCTGCTATTTTGCCCAGTCTGGCCATCAACTGTGATCATCCTATTTCTGTCTTGGCCCAGCTGCAATTTCAGGCTGAGGACATCTTTAGAATTAGTTCATGAAATTCCCCTTTGTAGACAGTGGAGAAAGAGGACCAAAATCCAAGGGACAAAATCCTTGTTTTGCCTCTTGCATAATTTTTTTCCCAAGAACTCTGCTTAACACCACTGGTATCAGGTGTTTGAGTTAATGAATATAAAGTTCTTCAAAAAGATTCTAGTTTACAGCAAGAGTTCAATAAATGATAACTACTTCCTTGTGAAAAAAAACAATGGCAAAACTTAAGATTGTCTTAATATCATGAATATAATACCATAATTTGACTGACTATATGTATTTGTTTCTTACTATAGAACTTAATGAAATGGCAACATTTGCACAGAAAGGAGTGTTGGGTTGATCAAACTCATTGAAATCCTTGACCAAATTAAATGAATAAATACCCAAGGTAACATAGAATAGTTAGCTATGCCTCTTGTGAAATTTACTGAATTCCTAATATGCGAATATAATAGATGAATAATAAAGGATTCACAGATTATGAAATGAGATATGTCTCATTCTTATTTAGAAATGTTCAATGGTCAAACATATGATGATTCATCTTCCAAAAAAGTTTAGTGCTGCCCATCTGTATCTTTCTATTACTGGGTAGTTGTCATTTTAAAGCATTACAATTCATGAGTTTTTAGCTGAATGGAGGATTTCTAACATAAACATTTGGCACAATAAAAGCTGAGCAATGAAGTCAAAACCAAACCTGAACATTTTTAGAAGATGAAAATAACTATCAAGAGCAGACATTGACTATGCATTTGTAGTTATTTTTATGATAAATGTACTGTCCTCTTGAAAAATGGGCAATACAAGATGAGAAGCTACTGGTAAAACAAGGAATGCAGCTGGGAGAAAAAAGCCATGAGTCTACTGAAGCAACTATACTACCTTCATTTTTTATGTAGAATATTTACTATAAATTGCTATTAGTAATGTTATTTAGGTTTGCAAAGTTTTAGAACATTTGTCAACTTTGCAAAAACCTATATCAAGTTTCGTGTGTGTGCACGATCAAAACATATGTGTGTGTGTGTGTGTGCGTGTGTGTGTGTGTATGTATAAAATGAAAATTGAAATCAATCATTTATTTTTTAAACAGAGATGCTGAGTCAATTGTTTTCTCGTTAACTTAGAACTAATAAAAATTTTAGGCTGACATAAATCCTTTAAATAAAAATTTCATGTACTTTTTAATTAACATAGTTAACATTCAATAGTATAGTCATCCCATTAACAAACTGAATCATTGTTAGAATATATTTAAAACAACAACTAGTCTTTGCACTAACACATTTGGATGGTCCTGAAAAGAAAATTTAATGATTAATATAGTTAGTATGATTCTTGTTAATTTTCTATGTGTGAAGGAGAAGATGGAATTAATTTATCTGTTTTTCCCTTAAACAACTGAATTTAAAGAAAATTAGATTTTTAGGTATTTCACTGGACCTGCATTTAACAGATAATGAATTATCTGTATCTTCTGTCGTCTGTATCTTCTTACACATATTTACCAATAATCATCCTCCCATGCCACTTTTCCATTTATGTTGCAAATATATCACATTCTTCTTAATAAAAGGTTTTAAGAACCATTTAAGTTTTTAACATATTTAAAACTTATAAATGGTGAATAAAATATTCTTATTGTGAAGTTTGGCATGGTTTTGCATACCTACTGGTTACTTAGGAGACAGAGATCAGGAGGATTGTGGTTTGAGACCAATCAATCAGAGGTTTCCTGATCCCCATCTCAACCAATAGCTGGATGTGGTGATGTGCCCCTGTCATTCCAACATCTGCAGAAAGTGTAAAATAGGAGGATCATGGTTCTGAAAATCCTGGGCAAAAAAGCAATACCCAATCTCATGAAAAACCAGAGCAAAGAGGGCTAGAGGTGTGGCTCAAGCCTTCAGCTCAAACCCCAGTATTGCCAAAAATATGCTCATGTTTTGAATAGGTATTATACACTATTAGTTACTAATTCTTTTACTTTTCCTATTGATTTAGATATTATTATCTGTTCAGTATCAGTCTTCATGGAAATATAACTGACACATTCCTTCTCTAGAGTTTTGATATTTAGATAGATATAGTGGCTATTTTTGGAAGATGATATTTTGATACTTCTAAAAAGTTTTTTTCTACCAATCAATAAAGAAAGACAATGGACAAAATCAAATCAACAATAAAGAGTATAAAACTCCTGAATGATTACATAGCAATAGAGAATGCCTGATTTTTAAGAACACAGTTTTGCCACTGTCAGGCTAATGATTTAAATACACAGTACCTCAGTATTGTCATCCTCAAAGAAATAACATAACAGCATCTAACTGAGGCATCATGAGACTCAGGTGAAATACTACACTTAAAAGACAGTCCAGCTAAAAGACTGTGCTTTTCCAATGTTTACTACTGTGGTTAATTCTATTGGATAACAACTTTTCCCATATAGCTTGAAAATAGATAGCAATTTTGCAAAGTTATCTTGACATACTCACTTTATTAAGTTGTTCATGACATCTGGGTCGTATGCTGTGACTTGCCCAATGATGCTCCCCTCCTTTATGTCTTCATCAACCTCAATCAAGTAAGAGGGTTTGCTGAACACAGGCGGCTCATCTGTGTCGTCCACAGATATTTTGACCACTGCCGTGTCTTTGAAAGGTCCCAGATGTAAGAATCGTGGGTCAGGGTGAGTGTTCCTTGCGTCCACTCTTAAAGTATACAACATTTTTTTTTCAAAATCTAAATTCTGAAGTTAAATAAGAAAAATTAGCATGATTTCATAGACATCAGAGTAGTTGACTACTTCCAAGTTCATTAACTTCTTCTTTTAATGACACCAACAATTATGGCTAAATAACTTCCCAATTATTGATTCAAAGGTGTATCAAATAAATTATTACATTTTTGTTTTGCCTTATACTTATTTATAGGAATTTAGTTAACTAAAGTGGGATATTTAATGAGATTTGTTCCTGCAAAGTAATGTACTTCAATATTTTTAGTCACAGACATAAATGAAGTGCTATCCAAAGATATTTGAATTATGTATTATCATTATTATTAAAGTCAAATGTGGTAAATTAAAAGACTGAATATAAGTTTAGAATAAAATTATTTTTGTTTCATTATTTAGTGTACTTTTGAAAGTAACATATAAAGGAAAGAAGTAAGACACAAAATATTAATATTGACATATACTATGATGTTAAGTCTCAGAACATTCCCCTTAGTACATTAAAACTTGAAAAAATTAACATAAAAAGATGACATGTTTAGGTTTTACTTATTTAAATAGAAATTAATTCACACTTAAAATTAGAAAGTCTTTAAAAAGTGTATGAAATAAAAGTAATGACAAATGCTTTTTCTTCCATAGAAAAATATAAAACAAGTCAGCCTGAGTTTCATTGTTGTTTACCACAAACACAATCATTTGAGTATTTATACCAGTTTATGAGTGAAGAACGTGCCTCACTTATTTGAAGTGAAATTACAACTTTTGCCACTTATGTGAAGGATAAAAACCATGTAAAAAGCTGGGAAAATATATCCAAGGCTTCTTTCCTTTTGAACAGCAAGCATAAACTATAGAGAACTCAATGAAGAAATGAAGACAGTGAAAAGAAACCTGTTTGACAATTATAATCCCTTCCTGTGTGTCCTTGTCAGTGATGACATCGAACATGTCTGCTCCATCTCCTTCAGCAATGCTATATTCCATTTCAGCATTTTCCCCCATGTCAGGGTCATTGGCTTTTATCCTTCCAAGGTGGGTTCCGAGAGGCACAGACTCAGGAGAATTAAATTGATACGTACCTGCAAATTAAATTAGAGCTGTTTTGACATTTCATCTTTAGATGACAAAACTTTTCATTTCCTCTGTCTTTTTTGCTTAAGTAATTTTAAATCAGAAGACTTTTTATCGTATTGAATTATAAGCTGTCAAAAAGTATAGCTTCATTAAGTGGAAAAAATGTATAAAACAAAACAATCTCACTCTGTAAATGAGAAATATAAGTTACAGAAAGGTAAAGTGAATGTCCAAAGGTTATTAGATAATAGATGGAATGCCTAATATTAGAGTCTAGTACATTTAAGTAAAAAGGAAATGAAACCATTTGTTTACTGTTACATTATTGATTTTATAATTGTCATCACACATTTTTACATATGGAATTAAAGAAAACATTTTTTCTTCTAATTCAAATGAGATAGAAAATAAAAGTCAATATCCCTTCTTTTGTTTATTTATTTTAATTTTAATGTCTTATAGTTGGACATGATTTTTACTTTTTATCAAGATCAAACAAATCATTATGTTGCATTCTGCTGTCCCTCAAGGCATTTTAGTTTGGAACTATCTATGAATTAGTTAATGTGGAAAATACCAGAAAAATTAAAGAGAAATAAATTTGTTTTTTCATCAGTTCCAGGGGTTGAACTCTGGGCCTATGGCTTGCTAGAACAGTGTTCTACCAGCACCAGAGGGAAGGGGAAGTATATAAGTAAAAGGTGTAGGAGGCTGAATATGGCAGAAATATTGTGTATACATGAATGAAAATGGAAAAATGAGACTTTTTAAAACTATTCCAGGAATGGTGTGAAAGGGGATAAAGCAGGATGATGGAGGGGGTGAATTTAACTATGAAAAATTTTAAGAAATTTTGTAAATGTCACAATGCCTCCAGTACAACAATAACCAAAATAATTATTAAAAAACAAAAAAGAAAGTATTGAAATTTAATTAAATATAATGAACTTCAAATACTTAGATTATGCAGTTTAGTAAGTGTTTATGTTTGCACATCACCAAAAAATCTGCTACGCAACTGAGAAAATGAACACATTGGTCACTCAAAATGTTTCCTTGGCTGGTTACAGTTTGCTCGCACATGTAACCCTAGCTCCTTAGGAGGCAGAGCTCAGAAGGATTGTGGTTCTAGGCTACTTCATGCAAATAGCTTTCAAACAGCATCTCAAAAATACCCAACCCCAAAATGGGCTGACCAAGAGGTTCAAGTGTAGAGTGCCTGCCCAGCAAGCATGAGACCCTGAGTTCAAGCCTAGTACTGCCAAAACATAAAAAGTTTCCTTATGCTCCTACATTTTCCCTTCCTTCTACTTTTCCCCAACCTGCCTCTTCTTGTCCCAAACAGGTGCTGATCTGCTATTTTACTACAGATGTGCTGTGCTTTTAGAAATGAAGGAAAATGGTAGGGGAGGTAATTCATGTATGATATATTGATACATTGTAAATGACACAATGTACCAATAACCATCACAACAATAAAGGGAAAAAAAGAAATGGATGTAAGTGAATTTATATAATATGGCTTCTTTTCTCTGACATTTTTCATCAGGCAAAAGTTTTTGAAACTAACCCATATTTTTTTATGAATCAATAGTCTTACCTCCTGAGTATTATTCCTTAGTATGAATGTACCAAAGTTATTCTTTCATTTATTTTTCAGTTATTGGGAAAAAATCTGGTATGAATCGTCTAGTAATATTCTTTGGATGACCATATGATAAAATAGAAGAGCTGGATCATATTATAGATATATTTTTAATTTTTAAGCACTTTTATTGGCCTATATTACTTGTACAGGTGTGATTCATTGTGAGATTTCCATATGTGCTTTAATATACTTCGGTTCCATTCACACTTTCCATTATTCTCCCATATTCCGTTTTCCCCATTTCTTAAAACAATTTCAATAAACTTCATAGCTTCAATTTTATATTGGTATACTTCTAAATAAACTCTTAAACAGTTTTCTGAAGTGATTTTACCACTAACAGTGCAGAAGAGCTGTAGTTCCTACACTTTTCTCACCAACACTTAGTGTGGTCAGACATTTTAATTCTTGCATGTCAACAGGAAAGTAATGGTATCCCCTTGTGGAATGAATTTCCATTTAGCTGATGACTGATTAATGATAAGGAGCTTTTGATGGTCTTATTTGATGTCTTTAGGCCTCCACTGAATGAAATCCCTTTTTAAATTGTTTTATGTATGTTTTAAATTTTTATTATTAGCATAATTTATTTGTACAAAGGGATTTCATTGTGATATTTCCACACATGCATACAGTGTCCTTTGATCAAATTCAACCCTATTTTATTGTCAACTGCTCTATCTCTTCCCACTTTTAAAAGAATCTGTAACCATGTTTTTAATTTTTACAAAATTTTAAATTGTTTTGCTTTAAAATTTGTATATGTTGTATAAAAAGTTTATTCAGAAAAAAAAAAAAACCCACACTCCTAACCACGAAGGTCAGAAGGAAAAGAATAAGATGGTTACAGTGAATGTGGAGAAATGAGTCTGAAAAGCTTTCTAACTATTCAAAGGAAGAGAAGTCCAATGAAAGTTGCAAACAATCTCCTCTCCTTGTTTTCTCTCACTACCACTGAGTTAGGGAAATGATCGTCATCACTTTCAATTCAGAGGAAATGTGACTGCTTTATCCAGGGAGGAGCAGTGGATTTGCTTTTATTTGCAATCCAATAGCAAAAACAGAAGTACAGATATTAGATTGTTAGCAGTATGTTGGAAAAACTTTTCAACATGAGATCACTGAAAACATCCTTACTCTGTGGAAAACGAGGAGGATTGTTGTTGACATCTGTGAGAGTGATGTTCACTGTGGTAGTTCCAGAAAGACCTCCCATCTGGCCGCCCATGTCTTTGGCTTGAATAACCACCTGGTACTGCTCTCGATTTTCTCTGCTCATGTCTGGTAATGCAGTTTTTATTATGCCTTTAGAAAAAAACAGGCAATTAAATCACTGATTTTTAAATTAAGATATGCTATGTAAGACTATCTTAAATTAACCATAACAAACAGAAAATAGTGTGCTAAATATCTCTTTTATTCCAAAACAAATTTAATGTAATTTGCAAAATAGAGACAGTTTTACGATGGGCTATTCTTCAAGAATTAGCATTTGCCGAATCAATTTAGTCTTTTGATTACAAATTAACTTTGATAAAAATGTTGACAGATAAGTTTCCTGAGTTTTGAGACTTATCATCTTTTTAGGTTTTGAGTATTTCTTTGTGCTACATAATGTGCCAAATCTGTGCAATTTTGTTGGAGTATCTTAACTTTAAACTCACTAACAAATGTTTAAGGAGCTAATGATACAAATATGCTGTTTCAATATTAGGAAGTTTGCTTTTGTTTCCTCAGAGTAAATGTTTGTAGTAAATACTAATCTGAAACTGAATGGATCAGATTTAAAATGTGGAAAACTTTAAAAAAAATTGTTCATCCAGATGTACTATATAATGAGAAGTCAACCAAAACAAATGTTTTTACCTGATTCTGGGTCCACGGAGAAATATGGCTGTCCTTGCAATATGCTATATACCACTTTGGCACTGTTTCCATAGTTAGCATCATCTGCGTCTGTTGCTGTCACTTGTATGACAGGTGTACCTATGTAAACCCCACCCCAAACACAGATGCATAAATACTTCCAAATTTGAAACTTTTTTTCTGAAAAAATTTTCGCTGGTACTGTGGTGTTTCATACCATAGGTATAAGCTTGGAGGAATTTGTTAAATGATACTGCTTTAGAAATCAGTTCATTTTCTCTCAAATTCAAACAAATTCTTAATTTATTGCTCACTTAAAGTACTGAAAAATAAATAGACATTCCATCACAAAGGTGAGACTAGCTAATGAACTGAATTATTAATTGAGTGGGAATATTGTAAGGAACAGTTTTTACTGAGTGTAATGAACATGAAATTTAAAATTAATACTTTTTTTTGTTATCTAGAAGTGTATAAAGATAAATCCAGCCTGTCTAATCCCCTGCTGCTCCTTACTCTGGTAAATTGGGTATTGTAAATAGACTGAAAAAGGAAGAGTTGCTGCTATCATAAAGAAACATACATAAACAACATAAACTTCATTTGCAGAGTGGGAGATTAGCATGAAAGCAACCTGGGGTAAATTATCAGAATTAAATACAAAATTAAGCTGCAAATATTTTTTCTTGTACACATGTTTACAGTATACCTTGTTATGGAGCATCTATGCCTATCTTTAAAATATAGACAATACAGTCACATCTGACTATGTTTCCTCATATATTGCGGTATGTAAAGAGGCTACATGTTTGCAAACAATTAGTTTCCAAAAGATACTAAGGAAGTGTGTAATTCTATGTAACATCCAATATAACAAATGAGCATTATCATCTGTTTAATTTTCTATTACAAAAGTAAAATTATTTTTCTAGGGCTAGAAATCATTATCTTTGAAAAGGTTCAGAGTTCTTTGTAGCAGCTAGTTTCATAGACAAACATAAGGGAATGTATTGATGGATATTTTGTTATTTTTGCTTGAGCTTCATAAAGAATCAAGGATAGATCTAAACAACCTTTAATGAAACCTATCAGTTATTCCCTTGGGAAAGATGAGTTTGTCGGACTTTGTTAGTGTATTATATGCGTTTTTAAAGCTTTCATTCTGACTCTTAAATTGTAAAGTTCTTGAGGACAGGGTGAATTCCATGCTGGTCCTCTCATCTATTTTAAGATCCCACATACAATACTCATTCATAAACGTGTTTAATTTATTTGCAATTAATATTTCTCAAATTTCGTGTGTACACATTTAAACAAATTCCAATAAATAAGTGTATTTTCCAGTAAACTTAATACCAACAGCTCATTTTCCTTCAACACATTTGAACACATGGATTTTCAAAAGTCCTTTTCATGTTTTCCCAAAATTAGTTAACATGCAATGAGAACTTTAGCTCTCGTCCTTAAGGCCTGTGTTTACTCTGCTATGATGGAACTAAGACATACTGTGGGCAAAAAGAAACATTATATAGCACTCAGTCTACCTCAGCTGTAAGCTTTTATCATAGAAAGTTTATCCACATATAGGCCAAGTAACCCAAAACAAAAGTGATAAAATGATTTTTCCTTACAGTAAGGCCTCCAAATCCAATTATAGTGGTTTTCTGATAAATATTTAATTTAGGTTAGTTAGAATACAACTTTCACATGTGAAAAATATTAAAATATGAATTATTAAGCTTTACCAATATGCTGGGAGTACTAATTAACTCATCAGTTTTATGGCATTTCACGTGCTATCAGTTCCCTTTTTTTAGGATCAGTTCTAATCAACAATTTGTCCCTAAAACCTAGCAGTGTATCCGGCACAAAGTCATAATGAGAACTTTGAAGAATTTTTAATGTAGACTAAGTAGAATTCTCAGTACTAGATTTTAATTTTTATTTAAGGAATTTATAGTACATATAGGATGTAGCCTTGGGGTGAATAGAAGCTGCTTTTCCTTCCCAGTCTATGTAAAGATCATCTATTCAAAAGACTTTACCCAGTGATCTGACTGGCACCTAGATTAGGACATGGAGGACTCAGTGACTGAGTTGTTTGTTTGAAAACCTGCAGAGGAATTCCTGCTAGGAAACTTATCCACGGTTTGGGAGAAGTGGATCAATCTTTTAGAATGCAGTTAGGACACATCCAGGTATGGGGAAATCATGCATTTTCATCACCAAATTTATACAACAGCAATTTGCCAATACAAAAAGTTCATAGAAACTCTTTAATCAATAGTACCATGACCATGGAAATATAAAATGTAGGGACATTCCACTAATATTCTAACCAAGTAATATCCTATTTTCCATAATTATACATTTTTATGTATCACCCAGATTGCATGTTCTGATTTGAAGATGCTATCATATTTCAGATTTCGAGAGTTATTGAAGCAACTTTAATTTAAATAAAAATGAGAGGCATGTAATTATAATAGCTAAATAGAATATGGTACATGGTTTTGTCAGAAAGAAAAAGAAAAGGGGGAAAAAGGATTGTGGTTGGTGAGTGAGAAAAAGAAGTGCAAAATATTCTTAAGAAACAAAAATAAATGAAATGAAAATGTCTTTCAAGACACATCCTTTTATCTTCTACCTTCACATCTTATGTTATGAGGTATTAATGATGCTCTATCATTCTCTTTTTTTCCTTTCCCTCTTTCCTCGAGTTTCATAGAGCAGTTCCACTGTTACAAACATATTCTGCATCTAAGTTTGTATATGATCATGCTTGTTTTTGTGTTTTATGTTTATCTTTTGGATCTATCTTCTATGCATGAAAGAAAAGGTGCAGCCTTTGTGTTTCTGAGCCTGGCTTACTTCACCTAACATGATGTCCTCCAATTCTATATCTCATTATTCCTTGTGGCTGAGTAATACTCCATTGTGTGCTGAAAAAAAAAAGTGGGGGCAGGTAAAGGGGTACTGGAGAGAAATGGAAGGGGTTAAATTGATCAAAGTAGAGTAAACCCATAGTAGGATATACACTGAGAAACCCCTTTGAGCATCAAGTTAAATATTAATAATGAAAGACAGAACTGTAAAATAGGTACAGTGTGTGTGGGAGATTCTAGTGGGAAGAGTGGGGACAAATGAAAGAAACCCTCTTCAATTGTTTTAAGTGGGGCAGAGAGCAGGTTGGGGGAAGAGACATTGGGGGGCAATGTAACTAATGTACCATATAAGTCTTATTGGAATTGTCACTATGAATCTCCCCTGAATAACAAACGTATCCTAATTTTTAAAAAAGCATAAAAAATTTTAAAAGAAAGCAAAGAAAGGGTAGATAATAGGAGATCATGAAAAGACAAGAAATTTCACTTTATTCTATTATACTTTAACTTTGTCCAAAGTTAATTAATATTTAAGCTTGGTTACTCTGATTTAAATAAAAATTACATGTATAATGAAAAACAACATTGAAAATGCATTGTTTTCCATCATTTTATTTATGGCTTTTTTGTTGTTTGAATACATGAGTTTAAACTGTTAATGCATGGCTAGCACATGATCTGAAAAAGTTTCTACATACCATCCTTTAATTTTTTTCTCTAAAATGATTTGTTTTTACAGGTAAAATTAAATAAAATCACAATTACAGTAATTAATAAGTTAATCCTTTATTCTCTTTCTATGAGTTACAACAAAAGAACAACATAATTTCAGATGTAAAATAGATCTGTGTTTTTATGTAGGTATTACGTGTGAGTGCATATATAAGTATCTAAAATCATATTGAAATATGCAAGGTTTTTCACACTTGTATTCTTACTTGGACTTATATTTAGAGGAACATTTAAAATAAGAAAAAATACCATTTTGAGGGTGTTAATTTGGAGTCTAATAAAGTAGATTTTCAAATTACATCTTGCATAGAAAGTACAATTAACAGGAGTGAAATAGACATCAATAATTAGTAGATCCAGATTAAAAGTGAGTAGATACTTTTACCTCTTCCCCTACTAACTTTATTTATTTATTTATTTATTTGTTCATTTATTGCTTTTAAATCTAAGATAGTAGTAACATGACCATAGTTTGGGGCAAGTTCATTTAACTTTTGTATACTCATTTGCACATATTTATTAAATGGAGTTATTAATTCAAGTGTCTTCTGTAAATGGTGTCTTTTGCATAACAATGTGTACATTCATAATAATAGCAGTATATATAATGTCTTTCCCAAGGAAACAATTAGTGCAACAGTTGTCAGTGTTTATAATAAAGAATTGTAATTGTCCTCTTCAAATAAGAACAAGATTTATCTGCCTTTATTTTTTGCCTCAGCCCTGTGCTAGTCACTAACATGAAATCTAATCATAAGAATGTAATACAAGGCAGATATTGCTTGCATTTTACAGGGAAAGTAAATAAGGCTCAGAGTCCTGATTTGCTAAACCACATTTCCTTTTTATTAGTGTGTGCCAATTGCACAATGGATTTTCAGTATGGTATTTCATACATGGATGTATTGTACTTTGATCAGATTGAGCGCCTCTACTGCTCCCTTTTCAAATCCTCCTCCACATCTATTTTTTCAACTCCTTTCAAGCAGGTTTCTTCTGAAATCGTTATTCATAGACAGAATATATTTGGTATTATTCATGCCTTCCTTACCTCCTCTCTGCCCTCCTCCTCATCACCCTCAAACAGTTCCACAATTACAATTTTATACATACATATATATGCATACACACGTGTATAGATGTGTGTGTGCTTATATATGTGTACACATATTGGTATAGATTTTCCACATATGAGAGAAAACATGCATTCTTTTTCCTTCTGAATCTTGTTTATTTGTTTGCATTTTATTTATTTATTTGGCAATACTGGAAGTTAAACTCAGGACTTCCTGCTTGCTATGTAAGCGCTCTACCACTTGAGCCAAATATCCAGCTCATTATGCTTTGGTTATTATTTTTGAGATCAGGTCTTGTTTCATGCTTAGATTGGTATGGACTGTGATCCTCCTAGTTATGTTACCCTGTATGGCTGTCATGACAGGTGTTTTTCATCATGCCCAGCCATTGAGATGAGGAATCTCATACACTTTTTGCCCAGGCTGTCCTCAAACTGTGATCATACCTATCTCTACTCCCAAGTAGCCAGGATGACAGGCTTCAGCCCTTATACCTGACCTGATTGTCTGCATTGTTAAACCTTTGTTCATTACTACCAAAACCTACAATCGGAGCCATACAGCTGCCTGCTGTGTAATTTTATGAGTTTTATAGGAATCCTAGACATTGAAGAAATTTTAATGGCATGGCTCAAATTCTTATTTTCAAAGCCTTTACTAATCAGAAAGTATAGTATCCACAACCTATAGATGATATTACAGAATTTGTTTTTGAACATGAGAATCCATAATTCTCCTTTCTTGCACAAACTTCTATATTCTTTAAATTATTTCAAGTAATTAAATCAGTGATGTTTCTTAAAAACAATATATAAAGTGCTTATCTCTGTCTTGATATGTTTATATAGTCAATAACTACTGTTAGAACATACATTGGGCTAGTGGTTAATAAGAGAACTACTCATTTAAATTCAGCAGATATATGATCAGAGTTTATTGTGTGAAAGGTAAAAGTTCATTAAATATCACAGGCTAATTTGGAAGAAAATATGTTTTTCAAAATTAAATGTCAATAATCTCTGATAAAGAACTATTCTTTATCAAAATGAAGTAATGTTTCAAATTTTTGAGGTTTATTCAGCTTTAAATAAATTACTGTTAAAATACCTCACTTTCAAATGTCTGTCATCTTAGTTTTGTTTTTCACTTTTCTAAGTATGTCAAATCTTTCAGGGGATGGGAGTGTGAAAGTTTTTGTATTGTCAGATGTCAAAATATCTGACAATATCACACACATACAAAAACATGCTTTACAAGGATATTGCTGGAAAACCAAATTACTTGAAAATACAATTTAAAAGGAAGTTGATAAGGAGAATATAATTTGAGATCTATCATCATCTCAAATATAACCTCATAAGACTTTGATGTGCATTAAAACTATCCAGCACATTGCTAGAAAAATAAATATGAATCCAGGTAACTGTGACAGACTAACAGATATTAGACAATATTAAAGCAAACACGTTCACTTATGTTTTATCCCAGGGATGTATGATTCACAGGGCTGTCTGCTGATAACTAAATTTCATTTGATGTGAAACTTTCATTAAAGAGTTGATAGGATTTTTTTCTATGTATAGAAGTTATTTTAGTCTGAAATGTATTAATTTTTTTGGGTGGTATTGGGATTTGAACTCATGACCTCGTATATGTTAAACAGACTGCTCTACCAAGTGAACTATGTATACAGGCCTTCTTACCTATGCTTGCCAATAAGCTGGGATCACAGGCATGACCCATTATGCCCAGTTTATTAGATAAGATGGGGTCTCACTAACATTTTCTCTTTGGATGGGCCTCCAACTGCAATCCTCCCCATCTCTACGTAACAAATAGCAGGAATTACAGGTATGAACCACAATTCCCAGCCCCATGAAACTATATTAGCTTTATAACTAATAAAACTGTCTCTCTCTCTGTTTCCATCTCTCTCTTAATCTCTCCCATTATATACACTTAAAACCGATGTAGAAATAATCTTCAATTAAGCTGTGCTAAATTGGGGAAATTGCATATTTTAGATACTATAATCATTTTTATCATTTGTTATTGTATTTTATGTCTTAAGAATCAGTTCTTTTCTCATTAACAAATCTAAACTTTTCATGTGAATGAAGTTAAATCTAGTCATGCATACAGTTAAAAAATTTGCACATTAACAAGTAGTGTTTATAATCATGGGCAGCTTTAAAAAGGGCAATAGTGATTTTCTGTTTGCATGATAAGAGAGTGTTCAGTAGGTGAACAGAATATGCACAAAAATAAGCTGAAAAACTTGGAATCATGCCATGATGTTACCCAGCTACTTGATCTTAATTCTGCCACTAAGTATGGATTCCTAAGTAAAAGAATGGGGATTTAAGTTCCATTTTCCATGCTTACCACATGGGATTATTTTAATGATCGAATGAGAAAATACTTTAGAAGAAATGTGCCAAAGGGTTAGATGTTATTATTCAACATGATATGAGCAATGTCATACTAGGTTGCTGACACCGTGTGCTTTGCTTTCTATGTGACTGACATTTCCATGTCAGTAGGTGAAGGTGTTGATTCCAGTGTGACCAAATAACTCTTCCCAGTAAGTTTCAATGTAAAAGCAGGCCTTAAGATATGTAGAATTGAAAATTATCAGATAGAAATTAGCTTGCACCAAATAGTAGTGTCTAGATACAACTCTTCTCAAGAAAGAGGCCACTTGTCACAACCGCAAAATAGAAATTTAAAAATACACAAAAATATTAGTGTACATGGATTAGTATATACCTACCCACTCCAGACATTTCAGGAACATTGGCTATGTACAAGTCTTTTGTGAATTTGGGCTCATTGTCATTGATATCATGAATTTTTATGATGAATTCCGATTCTGGCTCCACCTGCCGCCCAGTCTTTCTGTCTATAGCCTTGGCACGAAGAATATACAGGGACTTTTCTTCTCTGTCTAATTTCTTTGCAGCGTGAATATCTCCTGTGTTTTCATCTATAACAAACAGACTGCCAGCCCCATCTCCTGTCAATATGTATTTTAAATTTCCATCTCCTTTGTCTTGATCAGTGTGAAGCTTCAAGGAAGCAGAAGAAGAGTTCAGTGAAAGCATGCATCATTATTACAGTAATAATAATCTCAGTACTTACCACTTTGTTTCCACGTAATGTACTGTAATATGGGTCTTAACAGTAATCTCAGTTTTCAGTGGGGAACTGAAGATTTCAAACTTTAAAACAATGATATTTAGACAACATAAAACTAATGAAATAAAATATTGTTCTTTCAACATAAAGAATTTCAAAGATATTTGTGGATATAATGTTATGATAATGTAAACTTCTCAAGCATTATAAAAAATATTATTAACTTAGTTTTTGGATGTAAAATATCAATCATTTAAAATAACTAAATTTAAACATATGATATGAAGTATTTCTGAACTTAATATGAAGATTGCTTTAGTATGAATACCTTAATTTTAAACCAATTTTATCCTCTCTCAGTATAACATAATAGAAGCCGAGTCTCCCTGTTCAGGAAGACCAGTGAGAAAGAGAGAATTTTAAATGCATAGATTATTTTCTATGTGACTTTGGGGGAATACTTTCTCAGCTACAGTGTTCACATTTGTGAAAAATGATATATTTAAGAGACATTTTAAAGTGATTCAAAATAAATGAATTTTCCTCTTTATAAATTGTGTCTTTAAGAAAACTAGCATGTTTTCATAAATCGTCTGCTTTCTTTGATGCACATCCTTCTGTAAAAATAACTTCTTAATTAAAAGCTAGCCAACAGTGTTTTTAAAAAGTGGACCGTGTAATCACAGAAATTTTGAATTAGAAAAATTGAAAAAGATTGGCAACACGAACACTAGAAAGTGGAGCCTTGAAAATTTAATTGACAACATATTTGAATAATATATGTTTATGGTGTATAAGGTGATTTTTGCTATGTTTATATTATACAATGACTCAAAATAGAAAACTAACAAATCCATCATCTCACATACTTACTTTTTTGTCAGGAAACATTTTGAGGAAAATAGATTGAGAGAGTGATAAGCAAAGGGTGTAAAGTTTCAATTAGACAAGTATAATCTTAAGTGATCTACTATGCAGAGTAATGACCATAATAAATTCTAATGCACTACTTATTTCAGAATTGCTAAAAAAGCATACGTTAAATCCAGTTGAAGTCCTAAGTAGCCCAACTGCCTTTTGTTGCTTCTATCACATACTTGCCTAGTCCACTTACAGACCAGACTGCCCCCTTTGTTTTTTTTTTTCTGGTAGTTGAAGTTGAAATGTGTTTCATATTTTACTTCTTTGCTTTTAAGTCCATCAAAGTAATCATATCATATGTAGTTTTTCATTTTCTGAAATCTCCACCATCTCATCTCTTTGGCTCACACAGCAGCCCTTTCCTCTTATCTATGCACTCCAGTCATCTAATGATGCCTCTTCTCTTTTCCACTCCAAACATTTTTTCGTTCTAAACATAGTCATTCGACTACGTCATAAATGTTCAACAAGGCACAGTGTTGAAGATCATCAACCGAATGACCCACAAACCAGGGTTAGTGTCACACAAATGTCTTTGTTACAATGGTCACATTGTTCTTATTTTTTGTTTGTTTTAAAATCTAAACCTGTTGTACAAGAAGGGAATAATATTAATTTTGAAAACAATATTGTTATTGTAGCTGTTTGATGTCTAGTTCCATACTTACCCATCCTCGACAAAATGGCTCTTAAATCTGGGTGCATCTCTGCCCTTCTTATTTTCATTCAATAAATACCTCTTTATTTGTTTTGTGTTTTGTTTATTTCATTTCAGTGAAGACCTGTTCGTGTTTTCACATCTAATGTGAAAACATCTGTTTCTCTCACCTTTTAACACCCTTATACCTTTCCTGTGTTTTCCTCTAAATAAATGTTTGTTATATCTCATTTTTACTTTTCCTCTATGAGGACAACTTCCCTGACTCAGTTGATTACAGTAGATAATCCGCACCATAATTACTTGGCAAGCTTCACTCCGTATCATGGCAGTCATCACATTTGACATCATGTTAACCATGCCTACTTCACTGTAAAATGTACAATGGATACATTGATAAATGTTTAAAGATGACTGATATTTTTTTATGAAATTTGTATTTTGTATGGAACTTTTGACTTCTGAACCAAGAAAACACATTATTCATTCCAAATATAAGCTGGTAAAGGCTACAAATGAAAAATTCACAGAAAAACAAATAGCAATGTTTATAAAGATAAGAAAAGTTGCAAAAATTTACTTTTAACAAAGTGATTGTATATATGAATAAGAATTTTTATATATTCAATTGACAAAGATCAAAATATTAAATAATATGGGTATTGATGAGAAGTTTGCGAAGCAAGTTTATTTATACACTGTTAGTAAGATGTAAGTACTTTTAACTTTTTGGAAATCAACATGCCCTATGACCTTACGATGTCTCTCCCAGAAATGTATCATGCAGTTTCATATGTCACTACAACTCATATAAAGACGTTCATTGCAGAATTATTTGTATTGATAAATGACTGAAAGCAATCTAATTCTAAATCACAGCATGTTTTCAAATAAGTATCGAAGGTTTTTCCATTACTGTTAGCAAAATCAGGTCATAAATAAAATAAATTTCTTTCTCAGTTTAAGTTATAATTGAGAAATCTCTCCATGTGAATAAAATTATTTTGATGATGACATTTTGCAAAATATTTATAACAAATATTTTGACACTGTACCCTTTATTAGCCTATCTTTTTACTCCAAAAGGTATGAAAACAAATGTATTTATTGCCCTCATCCCTCCCCTGCCAGAAGAAATAATTTTAATGAAATGAAATAATAAAGAAAAAATGAAAAGATGCATATGTAAATAGAGAATAATATGTGTAGGAAAATCATTACTTTGGCAAAATTGTTAAATCAACTAAAATTTTCACTTTATTTGATTAGGCTAATTAATATACAGTGCAAACATCTGCAGTCATTAATATTATGGTCTGTATATACATTGTTAGATGTGAGTTATTAAAGCACATATTAATGAGTAAGATTCATGACAGGATGCACTATGAAATCACTATGTGGTTTTAGTACACTGTTTTCCATAAAAATACTGCCAACAAGTACATCCATTATAGCAGTTATTTAATTTTTATTTACTAATTACTGTTAAAATGTTTTAAACACATTAAGAATCAACTATATTAGTTTCTTGAAACACAGAAATCAAATGGTGAGGAAAAAATGTATAAAATGAATTATAAAGTGTCTCTACTCAATTTTACTGTACTTATATTTATACCCAGAAAAAAAGAAACATAAAAGATCTGTATTGTCTATATTTTCAAATGCATCTTGGGCTGAGACTAGGAAAATTTAGTAGAGGTAAATTTAATTTAATTAAAAATTATTGAAGAGTGCTGTGTGGCAAAGACAATATTCAATATTTCATGGACCTCAACTTAATATTGTGCTATGGATATTATTGATAAGCAACTGAAAGGGAGTAACATAAAGCAGCCTAAATGTTATCATAGTGTCAATTTTGAATTTAAAGATGAATTTAAATACTAATAATTTTAGCTCACCTCTAAGATTTCCCATTAATTTACAAAGTGTTTTATATAATTGTAAAATTATAATGACTTATTATAACACTATTGACCTAAATATTTTATTCAGCCCTTATGTAATCAATTCAATCTATAATTCACATACAATATTAGATATACGTCTAAATCTTAGTTAGATTAACTTTTATATACCTGAAGAAACAATGCACATTTCAAACATTTTTTTCCTCACTGAAAATATTTAGGAGTCTGAAAAAATGGCTACACATACTAGTTATCACAGTCACTACACTTTTTTTTTCAGTGATGGGGCTTGAACTCTGGGCCTATACCTTGAGTCACTCCACCAGCCCTTTCTTTCTAATGAGTTTTTTTGAGATAGGGTCTTGTGAACTATTTGCCTAGGTGGGCTTTGAACCGCGATCTTCCTGATCTCTGCCTCCTGAGTAGCTAGAATTACAGATGTGAGCCACAAGTGTCCAGCATCACTACACTTTTATTTGAATGCTTTTATACTTAGTTTTCAAATGATTATAAAATTAATTAATTATTTTGTATAGACTGTAGATGATGTGTGAAATTAATAATTGATGGAATTATAGGATATTAAAATAAGTATATTGTCTGAAAGTATTTAATTTCACTTTCTAAATAAAATATTTGCAATAAAATGATTAGTATTGCCTCATTTATTCAAATACTGATCTATCAATAATTTATATTTATTATTCTATACTCAGCTCCTCTAACTCTGGCCATAATATATTTTTAATCTTTTAATTTAAAATGCCATTATATAGTCACCTCTGGTGCATTCCTTTGATACAACACTTGGGTGCCTGAAGGATTGCAAGTTGGAAGGATAGGCTGGGCTACTTAGTGAGACCCTGTGTCATTAATAAATAAAATTTTAAAAATGAATAAAATGTCATTTAGGAATTATTTTTCATAATATCCTAAAAATATTAAGTTCTTTTTGTGTCGATATTTTTATTTTACTCTTTTTTAGAACGTTTTTAATCATCATATAAAACATAAAAATTTACATATGTACCGTGTACCATGCATACATTGTGTAGTGTGTAAACCAGATTAAACACACTCATTTCTTGGATATTTTACAAATATTCTCCTGGGCATTTTTAGAATGTTGCTTTGCATGAAAATAGCATTAAATTAGTAGAATGTGTGAGCATATCACCCTTCCTAAGGTAGATGGGCTCTTCCAAACTTTTTATGGTAGAAAGATCACTTAAGACTTGTCATTCTTTGTCGATATCAAGACAAAGTTCTTTTTGGAGGTTTCTTTGCCTGGTTTTGGGATAAGTGTAATATTGGCTTCATAAAATGTATTAGGCAGTTTTCCTTCCCTTTCTATTTCGTGGATCTCAGACTTAGACTCAGACTGAGACTACAACATTAGTTGTTCTAGTTCTACAGCTGGCCAATTGAAGATCTT